ATGCATCTAGCAATCTAGAGAATGGAGCCTAAGAAAGGGCAGAATTTTCCACCCACATAAATATTTGAGGTAGATCTGCCTCAGAAATGAACCATTTGGGCCTGATGGTGGAAAGGAAGGATGTATTTTGCTGTCTCAATTACAATCTGCAAAACAGGTGGAGAACAGTTTAGCTTTCAGATGTGGCCATGGTTATACCTGTATTTTAAAGTCTGAAATCTAAACAGGCTTTACAGTTTCTAAGTGTCTCCTGCTGCTGTTTCACTGCCCAGGGCGATCTACGTCGCATGTGGTCTGAGCCTTTCCACTCTAAGTCCAGCAGCTCCCGTTTCCTGGAAGTATGATGGAACAGACAGTGACCTGAACTTCTGCCTTGGTCCCTTTCACTTTATCTTGTGGCTTTGTCATCTCCTGAAGCTGGACTGGCTGCCAGGTACTTGGGAAGGTACCAACTACGGGACTTGTATGAAAGAATTGAAAGGAGGGGAAGGAAAAAAGCTAAGGTGTTCTGGAGCTCCGTCTCATCGCCCCGCGGATGTGGAACTGGGGACCCTTTGTGCAACTGCAGCCACTTTCCTCTTTTCCTCGCTCTGATGGATTAGTAGCAGACTGTTACCTACGTGAGAGAGGAAGAGACAGACTTGAAACTGAAAACGGCTTGAAGTCGTTCAAAAACTCGTGAACACTAAGAGGAAAAAAAACAGGCAAACTGAAGCTTCTTCAGCGAACCCTCAGATACATTGGGACCAGTTTCCTGTTGGACTTCAGTTTTGAAAAGAACTGAGACAGAAGGTTTTCTGTCACAATATTGGGGTTTTTTGTTTTGGTTTGTTTTTTTTTTTTGGTTGGTTTTTGTTTTTTTGATTTATTAAATATTTCCTGTGGTGTGAGGTTACTTATTAAATCCACAGACATTGAGTGACTTCTTGCAGTATACATATAAAAATTTGTTGTAACAAGTTACATTTCCACGCAGATGTCATGTTGCAGTGAAAAAGGGCACGATTTTTATACATATATATATACACACACATATAGATATATATATGAATAAATAAAAAGGAAAACCTGCTAAGATCATGCTATGTAGCAGACAGGGGCTTGCTGTAATTTTTAGCATGTAGAGCAGTTTACTCTGGCTTTCTTGTATATGAATCTACAATGAGCTGCTGTTTTTCTCCCCCCTCCTGAAACCAAACCTGCAATTTAAAAACATGTAGTATTTGTACCGACTGTACTCATGGACGTCAGGGGATATTTGGTTTTGATCAATGTAGCAAACTAGGGAAGCAAAACGTTGAAACCTAACCCTGTTTGTTTGAGGGGGGAGGGATGGGAAGGGTGTCTTTTTTTTTTCTTTTTTTCTTTTTTACAAACAGCTCCCTTGCAGGTTTTTAGTAGTTCCTTCCTGACCCGGTGCATGTATTATAGCAGCAATTGTCTTTGTGCTTTCTGATCATAGTAATGTATCACTTGTAAATACATTTTTTCTATTTTCTATTTTTTTGTATTTTTTTGCATTTTGTTTCATTAGTGTGCTGTATTTTTCCATGCCCTTGCCCCTTAAAGGAAAAAAAAAAAAAAAAAAGGAAAAAAAGAAAACTGTCCTTTCCTGTTGTGCCTGGTCAGTCTGTGTGTTGATGCTCTGTACCTGACAGCCTGTTTGAGATGTTTTGGTGGCTGCTTTTTTCCAACCAGCCATTCCAGTTCTGTTGCTTTATTGCCAGAAAGGCAACCCTGAGCTAACCAGAATGTTCATTGTACCTCGTTAGCCTGGTGCTGAGACCCGAGAGCTGACAGAAGGAAAGCAGGAATGTTTCAGACTGAGGTTTGACTGAAAGTACCTGCGAGGCAGTGCTTTATTACAAACAGGTAAGGAAGTTTAGGTGAAATGTCTGATCCTTTCTGCTCTGTTATTACAGGAGCAAAATTTCTGTCTGGCCAAAGCATCTGCCTGTCCTGTTTTTAATTAACATATTGCTCTGTTCTCCTCAGCAGGTCTATGTGAGCTTGCAGGCCGTGGCGCTGCAGTGGCTGAGTGCCTCTGGCTGGGCTGAAGCAGATGTGACACAGGTAAAACTAAAAAGCAGCACAGCGACCCAGGGGTGGAGGTGGTCCCAAGACCTTTCGGATGGGTGGGCAGCAGGAAGCGTGCTGTGATTTGTTATTTTCCCTCATTCTTATCTTTATTTGGTTGAAAGCATTTTCTCTGTTGTGTCCCTGCAGTGCTCGTTGTCAGATGATTGTCACTTTCAGAAGTAAATGTTTTTAAATTAAAAATCTGCACTTACTGCAGGTATTAGATCCCAGACTTGCAGTCAGCTTGGGACAGAAGGACATTATGTTTGAGGTGTGTAGCTGAAAACTCAAGAGAATAAAATATTGATGAATGTATTCAGAGAGAAAAAGGACACTTGATTTTTTTGCCTGGGGTACTGAAGCAGTGGAATATATCTCTAGATCTCGTCTGCTGAAGCCTTATCTTCTCAGTCCCTCCATTCACTGCTAGTAGTGCACATCTCAAGTGCTCTCAGTTTCTTGGGAGTGCCTTCCTGCCTTTAGAATTAAAATAAAAGGACTTTCTCTGGTTTTGTAGTGGCATTTCTACTCCGTGCCAGGAACTTATGCCTATTAGTGATTCTCTACACTTAAAAGAATTCTGGAAAAAGTTCTAGAAGTGCTGTTTAATTAGAATTAATTTAGCCTTCTTCTTATAAATCAGCACTGCCTGTGTGTGTGTGACCTTCTGACTTGCACCAAGAAATGGGGTTGTAAATGAAGCACTTTGTTTCTGAACCAGCTCTGAAATGATGGCCTGCCTTCCCAGGGGGAAGCCTGCAGCTGCCAGGTGAACAAAGTTGAACCCAAAGGGGTTTGCAATATTGCGATGGCAGCCCCCACTGACAAGAAGAGGATTTTGGTGCTTTAGGGGAGGTTAACTGAAGCATAACTGTACAAAGCTGTTGCATTTGCAGAGGCAAAAACATTCCCCTAAGATTTTTGATTAAATTAAAGCTTCTAACACTTTGTCCCACAGCTCTCCTGTTGAGAACAAGCTCAACTTTGTGGGGGAACAGAAAGGATTTGTACCTCGGCACTTGGCTGCTGGGAGCTCTGAACCTTCTGGCCTTGTTCCTTTGGTCTGGCCAACAGCACGTTGAGGATGAAATCGAACACACTGCTGTGGTCCCTTGGATTTCCTAGGGCCATCTGGGCATAGAATCCCTGTCCCTGCTGGGTCCCTTCATGCCTTCTTGGTTTTACGTTTTGTTCAACTCTTTCATTGAGCACTTGATACCAATTCCTGCAGTGCAGTCTGGAAGCTGCTGTCTTCTTGTGAAAAGTTGTCAGGAAAAAAACAGCCGTCTAACAAAAGCTTTTATTTAGGAGAGTGTAAAAAGTTGCTGTCAAAAATAAAAAAAAAAACCTCTGACTGCTGGTTAGGATTGGGACCAGAACTGTAAAATGCCAAGTAGTAACAGTTCTGGAGTGGTGTTCTGCTGTGTCTTTGGGAGTAGTCAGCTTAGAAACTGTACTGACTGCTTTGAAGTTTTCCCACAGGACTTAATCTTAATCTTGAAAAGATTTGCAGTCTGTTTGGATGCATTTTGCAAATACAAACCAGTAATTCCAGGTGTGCAGTGGCCCACTGGGAGCAGCCTGGGATGGGTCAGCTCATACGGTGCTGCAGTTTCCATGGTGTGGCATGCAGGAGCTGTTTGTGGAGATGAACGTTTCCTGCTGTGTGTGTTCTCTGAGAGAAGGGAAGAAGTCATCGCAGCAATGAGGAAACACGTGCTGACCATTGGGACTGACTTCCTCATCTTAGTATTGACCTCATTAAGGGAGAAATGGATGCAGAAGTCCCTGGTATTTTTATGCAAGTGGTGAGCAAGATTTGGATATTGTGTAGGTAAACAGCAGTGGTAACTGCATTTTCATTCAAATTGTACTGCTGCATTTTCTCATCTTTATTTTTTCTTGTTTTTACAAGTTGGGTAATTTTTATGCCTTTTATGATCCCTTACGAAACTGAAATGTGTAGCTGTGCTATTTAACAAAGGCTTTCAGATTAGGCAAAACAAAATTTAATTTAAAACCATTTGTCCTTTTTTTCTTAGCAGAAATGCTGTCAGAAAGACAAGTAGAGGAGAAAGTGATCTGGTGTGAACGCAGTGCTACAATAATTTCAGCTAAGTCCTAGGAGTAAAGACATCTTATGTGTTCCACATTACTGCAGTACTATAACTGTTTCTTCAGGTGGGCTGCCCAGGAACCCCTGGAGCAGAGAGCAGTGCAGATCTACTGCCCCTGTATGGCCAGGCCTCCTGTCCTGGAAACTTCTTAATTGGTGAGTTTTTAACCTCCAGCTGAAAACCTCCAAGGTTTCCTCTGCTTCGTTCCCTGCAGTTCATTTGTAACCTAGTTAATGTACATTCAGAGGATTGTGGGCAAAAGTGTCCTTGACAAGTGCAGCTGTGCCTTTTCCCCCCTCACCCCCAGATAAGTTGCACATGACCTGGTTTTCCCATCTTGATGCCCTAACTTTGCTATGTTGGCTCAGTTCGCAAACTGTCATGACAAACTTTTGGTTTCAACCTGAGATTGAGCTCTTGCTGATAAGAGAGCATGGCCCTACTCACACATAGCCAGGTTAGTGCTCTGGCTGGGGGTGGATCTTGCTGAGAGCTCTATTTAACAAGCTGCAGAACTTGATTGTGTTTTGCTCTTTCAGCAGTTTTTTTTCTGTAACAGCCCTGAGGAGCAGACACACATGCATTAAAGCTGAAATTATCTCAGATAGCAGCAGGGTGGAATAGGATTTCTGTATATTGCTCAGTGAAAGCAATATACAGAGCTTTGGGAGCTCTGTGGAGGATTTTGTGTGTAACTGTGTTGTTTACTCCAAAATATTGCTGAGAACAGTGCTGTGAGACAGGTTACCTGTACCTGCCTGAACCTGTGGCAGCAAGTATTGGAAAAGCATTTTTTTAACAGACTTTGCACCCTTAAAGCATGGTTGTTTTGTTTTTAGATGATAGCAAAAGGGAACTCTTACAGCCTTGTAAAAACATTCCTAGGCTCTTGAACGTTAAAGTCACGCTGTACCTAGACCAGTGATTTTTGACCAGCTCCACCCTTTCTGTAATTTGGTGATATGCAGTGTAAGTTGATTGCAGACAGTGACAGAGGTGCATTGAGCAAATCAGCACCAAATACGCAGTTAGCCAGGTCAGCTGCTCTACTGATGTCAGCTAGCAGGAAGCCTGTTAACAAGGCACGCAGCGTGCGATCCAGGAGTTCCCAAAGGCAAGTTGTGGTCACAGGTATGCAGCAGGGCTCCCCATGGGCAGGCAATTGCTTGATGCTGCACACTGTGGGATTTTGGTATATCTGTTTGTAGTTGATTGCAGTGTGTTCTCTGTCAGCTGAGATGTTCACAGCTAGTCTCCCAGTTCAGTCTTCCACTCTGAGGGCATAGGGGCAATTTCCTCAGCTCTGAAGACGAGTAGCAATCATTTAGTATTGCTGAGTGAAGGAGGTATGATGAGGAAGAGGAGCAGGCTGAAAGCAGGTGTAAGAGAATGATGAAGCAAGGGAAAACAGTGCAGCAGGTGTGGCCTAACAGTGACTGCCTCTTCTGGTGCATTGGCCATTCAGTAAGATGAGCACTGAACATTAACACTGTGCTCCCAAAGTCCTCACTTTCTTGCAGTGAGCAGTGCCTGCTCTAGCTGAGTGGCTGAGAGGAGAAAAAGAAACTTTTGTAAAATAATCTCACTTCTTCCTACCGAGTCATTAAATGAGGCAGTGATACAAGTGGAAATTGAACTAGAAGAGTGTGCCTTACACCTAGAAGACTTTCATTTACAACACCTTTGCAATCACTGGAATGGTCTTCCAGTAGACCTACTGATCTCAGTGCCTGGCTCTGTCAGACTATGATGACAGCAGCAAGGAGAAATTCAAACTCTGCCCAACATGCCATCACCAGCAAGCAATCTGCAAAGGGATTATTTGTATTACTGGGACATCTGCACTAGCAACCACCCACCACACTGCAAAGTGTTGGCACAACCTGTATATGAAGGGTAAGGGGTTTGTGCTTCTGTGTCTTGGGACTGGAAGAAACTATTCTATTGTCACATCTGAATTTAGAAAAAAAAATTGGGGAGGGGTGGTCCTTTAAAAAAGTTTTTGAAATCAGGTTTTATTCATCTTCTGTTCTCTTTTATGTAATATAATCTTGCTGTTTTCTTGCCACATAAATTAAATAAACAACACCACAGGAAAATAACCATTTACAACTGGTGTACTCATTGTCTGGACAAGGGCTGTGCAGATTGTAGTCTTAATCCTGTCCATCTCTTCTTTTGGCTGTTTAATTTTCAGAAAGTTAATTTTTTGCTAAAGATAGCTGTTGGAGGATGTGTTACTGCCAGATCTTCCTGGTAAGGTTTTTGGTATCATCTGTTCACTTCCCACTTGTTGCCCAAAAATGCATGGTAACTGCCACTGTATGCATTTTCTGTCCTGTTAGAGAGTTGTTGGTACAGTAAAAGGCAGGCTGTGGAACATTCACTTTCTTTTTTTTTTTTTAATCTGTCTCAGCCACTGCAGCTTCTCTCTTCTTTGCTTTTACAGCTCTGTCCATGAAAGCTAGTGGGTTTTTTTCTGACCTTTGCTTTTACATCCATTTACACAGCAACCATAACCTGAGTAAGAGCCTTTCATGCATAGGAAGTGCCTGTGTCTTCCCTTCTGGCTCCTCTCCTGCTGGAGGTGGGGGAGAGTGCACTGCTGCAGCACGTCTCAGTACAGCCTGCACTGAAAAGGGAGCTCACCACAGCTGCATCCCAAACTTCAGAATTTGAGAATCATGGCAGTGTAACCAGCAGCCCAGAAGGAGTGCACAGGGTCACATCTCTAACATTGGCACTGCTTATCACACTGCTCATTGACAAAGCCTTGCAAAGGAAGTACTGTGAGATGCACAAGGAGCAAGCTGATTAGGAAAAGCAGCCATGAGCTGCTTCCTCTCTCTTGCACTCATTGCCATCTGCTTACAAACTGGGATACAGCCTTCCACGCACCATACTTCACCCAGAGAAGAATCAGCACATTTTAAGGTCAGTTACTCATTAGTGAGGAAAACTTCCATCATGATCCTCAGTGCTTGGATGGCTGTTAGGAGGCACTTAAGGGCAGTATCTTGCTCTAAGGTTCTTCAGCTACGGTAGGCCTTCAGCAGTTGACCTGCTATCACCAGTCTTTGGATCTCACTGGTCCCCTCGTAGATCTCAGTGATACGAGCATCACGGTAATGACGTTCTGCTGGCATCTCTGTCACATAACCCATACCACCCAAGATCTGCATGGCCTGAAACAAAGGTAGGGGGTTAGAACAGATGCAGGGCCGCAGAACTTGTTTTGCACAGATCACAGCCACCTGAAAACAAACTAATCTCACTGCATGCGTACCTGGAGGAAGCACATGGGGCTGACTGGGACACTTGTAATCAGAGAAATACACACAATTAGAAGTCGTGTAACATTAATACTGACATCCCAGACAGCAAATGAACCACTTCAGTGGTATCTGTTAGTTTTTTCATATTCAACTCAGCCATGCTTAAGGGCAGGAAAAAATAAATGCAGACACCACAGGTACTGCTCTATCTTCTCATTATACATTAAACTTAGCTGCACCAACTCAATCAGCAGTAAGCTCCCTCAAAAAGCACCAATCCAGTTAAAATGCTGATGCTACCTCTGGACAGCATCAAGCATGATCATTAATAACACAGCATCACATGCCTACATAATCCTGAATCCAAAAAGGTGGCCAGGCTAACCACCTTCACATGCCTTTGTTAAAAAAACCAACAACATGTATGTTCTAGTAAAGATTAAAGTTCATCCCATTTTCATGTAGGTACTTGGCTTGTTGTGTAAAAGATGGAACACCAACTGCCTTTCAGCATGCTCTGTAGCTCAGAGGTGCCAGCTGTGGTAGTTACCTGATGAGCGATGTTTGTTGCAGCTTCTGATGCAGCCAGCTTGGCCATTGCCGCTTCCTTTGGGAAGGAAAACATCACTGAGGATGCAGCTATCATAGAAAAAGGAAAGCCCCAATTGCAACAGGAGTCTGACAGTCTGCAGACCAACTGTGCAGAAAAGACAGGCCAGGTTGCTGGCACCAGCTCTCAGCAGCCAGCCCCTCTCGCCTTGGATAAAAGCAGGGCCCAGCTCCAGAGCTGGAGCTGATGGCAGACAGCAGTGTGCAGTATCTGCTGATACCAGACCTCCAACAGCAGTAGGATGAGCAGGACTGAAGGCAGCCACGCAGCACATCACACCATTGGCCTGCCTCAAGTCTGTGCCCAGAGCTGTCACTACTTGACAAATGCAAAGCTAGAAATACCTTTGTGAAGGGCTTCCCGTTGTCTTTCAGCATGGCAGCTCTCCAGGTCAGTAAGCGCGCACTCTCTAATGCCACAGCCATGTCTGCTAACTTAAACTGCAATGACAAACACTGCCTTTGTCTGAGGTGGCTCTGCCTACAGGAGAACATAGAGCAGTCTCCCACCTCTGAGACCAGCAGTGCTGGAAAAGGAGCACCTCCATCCCAACAGTCTGTATGAAAATGTAAACAACGACCTTGTTTATCCCAGACAGTACAAAGTGCACTGTGTTCCCAAAGCCAAGTACAAGTGTCCATACAAACTTTCCACCAACAACAGCACCACCTGCAAGTGACCCAGCCTGGCTCATACCTGAATTGCCTGCAGCTTTGTGATGGGTGACCCAAACGCCATTCTCTTTTCAGCATAATCCACAGCACAGTCCAGAGCTGCCTGAGCTATTCCCAGAGCCTGAGAGGCAATGCCAATCCTTCCTCCATCCAGAGTTTGCTGAGAAAGACAAAAATATGTGTTAAATAACACTTGATCAAAAGAGTACACACACATCCACTCTTTCTTTCATTTTTCATAGTGACTAGTGAATTGGGTCTGTAACCTGACTTGCCCATTAGGTTTTGACTGCTTCCCTGGCTCACTCTGTACCCATGAAGAATTCGTGGTATAGTGAGAGAAGACTTCATTTTAGTTCTAGGCTGAGGGTTTCAAAAAAGTGATTGGTGACTGGAGAATTCTTCCAGCTTTGGAGTTCAGCCCTTCTCAAAACATTGGGCCAACAAATGGTGTTTCCCCCATGAAGAGTGTGCCACCGCAGGGAACAAGCTGCATAGAGGGCTGGCTTCTGTTCATTAGTCACACATGTGCTGTTATCTTTGACTTCTTCCACTTCTTTTAGGCATGATGCAGAACATATTCTGTGCACCCAGCACAACTATCCTCTGCCAGAATATTTAGGGAAAATGCAACGTTCCCCCCACCCTCTTTTTTTAAAGGTACAAAATGGAAGAACAGAACTTGAGTAAACTTGAGAAAAATTAAACTAAATTGCCCCTGCTCACACTATGCCTCAACAGCACTCCTTAACCAGAGCACTGCCACACTGAGCCTACAAAAACAGCACTGCCCAGGATCTATGAGAAATCAATGATTTACCAAGCTCTATCAATGAGTTCACATGTTGGCAAGAAGAGTCAAATGTCTCATGTTACATCTTACAGAAGCAGCTCTCCCCAAAGTTATCCTAAATCTGAAAATAGTTTTAAGAGTGGCCAGCTTGGGAACTACTGCTTTACACAAACGCACCTCTGATCCATCTCTTACCATGGCAATTTTGAAGCCCATTCCTAGCTGCCCCAGCAGGTTGTCCTTGGGTATCCGACAGTCCTCAAATATCAGGTTGGCAGTGGAAGAGGCTCGGATGCCCAGCTTGTCTTCTTTCTTCCCCAGGGACAGCCCCGCAGTTGGCATAGGAACAAGGAATGCACTGATGCCCTGCAAGAGGACCCAGACTCTTAGGAATGGTGTTGACTTCCCACTTACCTGGCTGTCAACAGGCTTCCTTCCCATTTTTTTTTCCACAGGACACATGTGTCTGAGTAACCAGAAGGAAGGGAAGGCACAAGGAACAACAGAACCAGCACACATCAACCCCCCTCCTCTCCACTGTGCAACATCTGCACAGCTCCAAATACTCTACATGGTCCTCAGAACCCTTTCAGAATGATTCTCCCTTCACTTCCAGCCCTTTTTTCCCAACTGACCCACAGAACACACCTTGTGCTTCAGGGATTTATCTGTAGTGGCAAACACCACGGTGGCTGAGGCGTCCCAGGCGTTGGTGATCCAGGCCTTGGTGCCATTCAGCACCCACTCATCACCATCCAGACGTGCCACTGTGGATGCTGCACCCGCATCACTGCCATTCCCTAAGCAAGGCAAAAAACATTCAGGCAATCAGTAGCAGTGATTTGCAATCAGTGCAAAACCACCACCTGCCCACACCCCTGCTGCCAGCTCACAGCACCTCTTGTAGCTGCAGTGGTGTCACCTCTGTCCCTCCCATAGGGGGCCCAAACAGAAAGGAGAAAGGCCAGTATGTCTAAGATGCATCCATCTCTAAGGTTTTGCTCACATAACAGGGATGAAAATTTTCAGCACAGGCCATGGGGTAGCAGGTAGTAAGCACCTTGGGCACTGAGACTTCATTTGAATATTTGAATGGAATTGCTACAAACCACCTTTCTGCAAACTGTTACAGTCTGACAGACCTAAAATCCACTCTAAATGCGATTAAGGAAGTTACCCTATCTTCCTTGCAACAGGAATGCTAACAGTAACATTACCTGGTTCACTAAGAGCAAAACATCCTATTTTGTCCCCACTGGTGAAGGGAGAAATCCACTTGTGCTTCTGTTCCTCAGAACCAAACTTGAGTATTGGCCCTAAATACAGAGACTTTAAGAATTGAGAGCTGAGTTAGTACCTCCTCAAGGTACAGTCGATTAACACCCAGACTGTCAGTGCTCCCCAGCACACCGTAATTCACAAGAGGAACGGATCCCATTTCTCACATACACCCCCCTCCAACAGCCACCCTGTTCTCAGACTCGGCTCCATGCCTGTCCCTCACACACAGCCTTGAGACACTCACATTATTGACGCTGGCAATGACGCCTGTGGACGCACAGCCCCTGCTGATCTCCTCCACAGCAATGGAATAGGCCAGGTAGTCGAGGCCAGCTCCTTTGAACTGCTCTGGCACTTCCACAGCCAGCAGCCCTAGGCTACCCATCTTCTTCACCTGCACGTGGGGAACGGAGAAGTAAGATTCTCTGCACCAGCAAATACATGCAGGCACACAAAGTCAGCTCACAGCAGGGCTACACACGGAGGAACAATGTGTGTAACTCCTGTTGAAATGGGAATCTGGCTGCACAAACTGCTAAAAGTGTGGCTAGATGACTTCACCGAGAGCTACACACCGTCACTGCTGGCTTGGATGAGCTCTTGCTCATTTCAGGAGCTGTCTTCAGTACCAGGAAAGGAAGGAGCTTTTGGAAGGTGAAATATGGTGCTACACCCCCACCAGAATTTTCTCCACCTCTCACCAGAACTTCTCCCATCATATTTTTCCTGTCGTCTTGCTAATGAAAATCATTAGAACTCTATCTTTGAGACTGCTGTGCTTCAGCCCACCGCTGCACCAGGGAAGAACGTTATCAACTGAAAGACCCACAGAGCAGTTTGCAAAAAGGTGATTTTTCATTCCCACTTAAGCCAGCTCTTGCTTTCCAAAAAATGTGTTCAGCACATTCCAAATTATTCCAACCCTAAATTCCTCAGCTGGACCTTGGCCTCATAACTGGAAGCTCTTCAAAGCACATACTACCTCACACTGCATAGTAATATCTAGGAATATACATCTAGAAAATAATATCTAGAAAGGAAAAACAAGTTTTCCTCTGTTTTTACATTTAAAATGCAACGTCAAATTTAGCCCAATCTTTCAGTGAGGTTAAATGTATCACCAGGCTGTGCATGCTTTCACAGAACCTGCGAGGAATTTTAAAACAAGTATTTTCCCTCCTGCATGGACACCCAGAACATTTGTCCATCATATCAAATGTAGAGGATGAACAAAGGATAGCAGTTCATTCTATATGTATGTTGCTTTATCTTTATTGGCCTTCCAGTACCTGAAAGGGACCCTCATAAAAGTTGGGGAGTGATGTTTATAAGGGCAGGTAGGGACAGGATGAGGGGAAATGGTTTAAAACTGGAAGAGAGCAGATTTAAACTAGAGAGTAGGAAGAAATTCTTTACTGTGATGGTGGTGAGACTCTGGAACAGTGAGGTTGTGAATGTCCCCTCCCTGGAAGCAATAAAGGCCAGGCTGGATGGGGTTCTGAGCAACCTGGTCTGCTGGGAGGTGTCTCTGTCTATAGCAAGGGGGTGGAACTGGATGATCTTAAAGGTCCCTTCCAACCCAAACCATTCTATGATTCTATAAATACTGTTTACACTTCCAATTTTCTCCAACACATTCAAATTCAACAGCATATGCCTTTCTTGTACATGAATGAGTGAATTCACCTGCTCAACGTGACACTAATCTGCTGAACTGATATCCGCGTGAGGAGTCAGAGGTCTATGTGGAATCTTAACAGACCACATAAAACAGACACAGCACCCACCAGATGCTATCATCTCCTACCTCCTGACCGTTCTGCTCCCACAGAGAAGCTGCTCGGAGAACTGACAATTCAGCGGTGCTAAAGCTGCAGAACCACGAGCAGCTGAGGAGCTCAGAACGCACACGACAGATTCCACACTCAGCTCTCCTGGAAGCAGACCTAAACCTCAGCCCGCTGCCAAGCCAGCAGAACGAATCCCACGGAACGTTTCTCGGTACAAAGGTCAGAAGACGCTCCGTGCCACAGAAGCCCCAGGAGCAGCTTCCTGCCCCGGGCACGGTTAGCAAGGCGGGGCGGGCAGCGCGCACCTGCTCGGCCGGGAAGCGGTGCTCCTTGTCCAGCTGAGCCGCGAGGGGCATCAGCTCCTTCTCGGCGAAGTCCCGGCACGTCTGGCGCAGCATCTGGTGCGTCTCCGGCAGCTCCACCGACTGGTACACCGTGTGCAGCCGGCGGAGGGACCCCAGGGCCCGCGCTGAGGGCGGGCAGAGCCGTGAGGCGCCGCGTCCCTTCGCCTCGCCCCCTCCCCCCCCCGGACCCCCGGACCCGTGCTGAGGGCGGCGCCGCCACGGGACGCAGCCTCAGGCCCTGAAGGGCACCGGGGCGCCGCCGCCCGCCCTCCCGCTCAGACCGCGGCCGCTCCCGACCCCCACGCGCAGCCCCTCGGGTCCTCCCGATAGCCGCGGCGGAGCGAGGCCGGGCTCCGCGCCCTCACCCCTGGGCAGCCCGCCGCCGCGGGTCAGGAGCGCCGCCGCCGCCGCCGCCATGGCCGCGCCTGAGGGAGCGCGAGGAACAGCACTGCGCATGCGCGACTCGACAAGGCGGGAACAGCGCAAGACGACGCGAGGCCACGCCCCTTTCCCAGTCCCGCCCCTCCCGTCAGCCCCGCCCCTCTCGTCAGCCCCGCCCCCTCCCTTATCCCAGCCCCGCCCCCAGCCGGACGCCGCCGTACGAAATCAGGAAGTTCCTTTATTGCACGCGGGGCGGCAGCAGCGCCACCGCCACGCGCGTCCAAACCGCCGCCGCCGCTGCCGTTCGCGTCGCCTCGCCGCAGGGGGGCGCTGCTGAGCGGGGCGAGGCGCTCGTCCCAAACCTCCGCTACGTGCGGCACCGAGCACCAGAGGGCAGCGCGGAGGAAGACGCCGCTCAGAGGGACGGGGACAGACGGACGTCAGTAGGAGCAGCCCGTGGGGCCGTCGGACGGCTGTCCGGAGTCCGCAGCCCAGGAGCGTGGAGAGAAGCCGGTCTTCAAAGGGCGATGCTGGAGAGGCTGGGTGTGGGCGCTGCTCCCCGGGCTGCTGTAGAAGTGATGCTGGTCTCTGTGCTGCTGGAGGATCGCTGCTGCCCCCTGTGCTGCTATCACTGAGCACGCTACAATCCCAGCTCTTCTCCCAGCTCTGCTGGGTGACCTTGCACACACACTCGGCTCACAGCTCGGGTCCCATCTCCCCGTGCGAGCAGCTCTGATCCATCCTCACAGCACCACATCGCACCAAACTGAAGGGTGATGCTCCACAGAGTCACGTTTACCAACGCCACCATCCCTGCCACGAGGACGAGGTTGGAAATCCCTGCCTTTGTGGTTACAATCAGCCTTTTTAGTGCTGGGCTGCCTTTTTTTAGGGACTTTTTTCCTGCAGCATGTTTGTGGGCAAAGCCTTCTAATTTGGCCAAGCAAACAGATACCCACAGGAGCTGAGGGGTGCCAGCACTGCCTGCACAACCCCCAGCTTTCCTTTGGTCTTCCTTTACTTATTGCTGAATAGGTGATACATTCATAAATGAGAAGCACTGCCTCGATGCTTTTTTCCTCATCGCTGCTGGCTGAGGTAATGACTGCTCCAGACAGAAATCCCCCTTCCTACAGGCCCTGAACTCACCCACAGCCAGCAGTGCTCTCTGCTTCTCAGGGCAGCAGTCAGATGGCACCCAGCACCCTGTGAGCACCCGACCTGCACAGCTGTGTTCTCCCCTGGCTCAGTCTTCACTGCTCCCCTGGCAATGGTCTGTCTCCGTGTTAAGTATCTTTACTCAGTGATATAGAAAACAGATGAGAATCGTCACATTCGTAAGAAAAGCAGGAGGTTGCTTCATACAGAAAGGTAAAAGGAACGTTAAAAGGCACCTGGGTTTATACTACAGATAAATTCACCTCAATATGCTACAACGTCCTGCAAACACCCGGCAGCCTCTTCTGACCTGACCCTGAGTATCTCACAATGCTCCAGGATGGAAAACACACTCCCAGGCCGCTCTGCCTTGTTGCAAGCACCGCCCATTCCTGCAGCACGACAGAATTTCCCCTTCTTGCCAGCACAGCACGGGGCCATCTGAAGGCAGTCACTGCAAGAGGCAGCTTGAGCTCCACCTCACGAGCAGCTTCACTAATTCAGAAACAACTAATGAGATTGCCCAAGTGCCCGTGGAGATGCTGGAAGGGATTGAATGGAGCAGAACTGCCCTTCATCTTTCAGCCACACACACCTCGCCCCTCTGCATTCCCAAGACATTTGTTGTGGTTGCTCATGATTAATACTCCACCCGAACAAATCGTTTGTGGTGGTTAATAGTAATTAAAATCCTTCCCAAGAGCTGGAGATTCTTTCAGGACTGCCACCCAAATACTCTCACTGCTTACCTCGTCACCCACCGATGCTCTGCACCAAACTAACGTCGTTAATCTGCAAGGTTAAGGCAGTGGCTTCCTATTGCTATCTACGCATTAAAAGGCTGTGATGCCCACCTCATTTAATCCTGCTGAGGCATAATCTACACTGAATCATACAGTATCTGCTGAGGAGTTGGTTCTCAGCTCTCTAGGCGAACAAGCAGAACTAACACTAACCAAAGTCTCCAGCCCAGACACAACTCAGCTCCCACGTGCAGCAGAGGTGGCTGATCAGCTCAGGGAGGGGATGCAAACCATCCTCATCTTGAGCCAGCAAAATACACAGGAAAGGGTTTTCCTAGCTGAGATTCTGCACGGTCAGAGCTGGATGCCAGCACACTGCTGGGAGGATGGGGTCTCCACTTCCCAGGGCACGGTGCTATTTCCTATTGCCAGATCCCAAAGCGCTGCTGCAAAGGACACCCTTTGGTCTGGCAGAATCTAACTCAGCAGAAGAACTTCCTGAAACATAAATAAGCAACTAAGGATACAAAGCAGTGATAGGATCTCAAACAATTAAGAAAAATCGTATTAATTCTCACAGTTTGGTCATTAAGAATCCCACTCTGTAACACTGAATAATTTGACCTGGGAAGGTTTTTAGCTGCTAGTACCTCAACTGAAAGAAAGCAAGTGAGCTGGTGACACCACCATCTCTCCTTCCAGCACCTCTGACAGTCAGGTTTAAAACATTATGATGTATACAGAGATTGAAACCTAGGAAGCTTTGCTCCCTACATGTTTTTCAAGTGATTTTCCACATTCTGCCTTCTTCCTCTACACCTCACCAGACTGAAATCTCCCCTCCACCCCAGTTAGGCTGATAATGTGCTGTCAGTCCAAAACCAATACATTCTGTAGTAAAAGCCTAAATCCTACACAAAGGGAAGCAGTAGAAATGAGAAATATACTGAGATTAACTTCAGCTCCAAGGCTGACCCTTGAGCTCCAAAATTCAGCAATTTGCTTGAATAAGCTCAAACAGAAATGCTATTGGAACAACTAAATGATCAACCTGGATAAGGTCCCTTTTTTCTCCTATTGCGTACCTCCAGCGATATCTCTGGTAAAACACAGATCAAGCCATTTCCAAGAGCAGCTCAAATCCCTGGAGGGGGAAGAGAAGATTCCTGCACAACTCCGAAGCTGAATTAGTCTCTTATTTTATCTTTCCCACTGGAGAATACTGGAATGCACCCTAAAAAGCTATCTCACCCATGCTACAAACTAAGCCACTAGGCACCAAAGAGATGATCTATCCAACTGAAGAAGAGATCTGCTTTTCAGATGTCACTGGCTACCTTAAGGCAGCAAATTTTCCTGCTAACAAATAGCTAACCCAAATAATCTGACCTCTTGGAAGAGGGTAGTCACCCAATAGGTGAAACATCAGGAGCACCAGGAGTGCAACCTAAGCTATAAAAATTGTAACAGCAATAATTCTCAAACAGTGCCTCTGATCCATAACCTAACCAGGGTACCAAAAGGTATCCAGAAATGGAGAATGACAGAGGCTGGATATGTTATGGGTGTTGGATAGTGAAGCGTTGCAGGGAGATTTCCTTTACTTTTGCGAGTTGTCTTCTTTGCTTCGTGTGCTCAGCCTCATGCAAGAAGAAAAGGTTTGACAGGAAGCCTTGTTGCATGAGAGAGCAAGTCCAGTCCAGTCCTGGACATCTGGAATGGTTAATGGCAGCACAGCTTCCAGCAGCCATATCATGATTACTGTCCTCCATTGTAAGCATAATCGGCCTTGTTGTGCATTATCAACTTGTTGTCCACAAAGTAAAAGCTGTCTGAGCGGGTCTCGTATGGGTTTTCAACCATCAGACGGACTGTGAAAGAGAAAGCTTGATTACATTCAGCAGCCTGTCACACTCTGCTGGGCAGTGCAGTCAGAACAAAAAAGAAACTCGGTGGGATGCACCAGGCTGACACTCTGCCCTATCCAAGAGAAGCAAACAGATCTGCTGGGCACACATTAAAAGCTCTGGTATGCCCTACCTATTCTTCCTATTCACAGGGCACTGTCAAAAGCAAACAGAGGTGGAGCAATCTCACATAAGACACAGAAACAGTCAGAGCCACCACTAGAGCAAAGCAGGAATCATTGTCTGAAAGCAAAGAGGCTGCAACCTGTAAATAAAAGAAAGCAGCTGCACTCTCCACTGGTCCACAGGCGAGGTACAAACCCTGCAGTCAGGCAGCAACACAGAAGGGCCCACGTGCTCTGCTCAATCCACCCCCAGGGCAAACATACCCTGCGCAATGCATATTTGCAGAGATTTTGGTAGGCTCAAAAACACACCTCTCAAGAGAAAAACCAGTTCTGCTTCAAAGCTAGAGGCTCAAGACCTAAAAAGCAAATGCTGAAAACAGATGTGTGAATGCTAAGAGAGCCCTTTTCCAGGGTTTTGTTATCTTCTGCACTGCACTGTTAGGCACTGGGGATGACAGCCCCATCACTGTGCAGCTCTTCTTGCAGCCTGTGACTTGACAATGCAGGCTGCCTTAGGCTTTCATTTCTAAGATGGATAATCTGCAGCACAAGTCTGTGACGTGGGATTAAACACATCTTAAATCAGCTTAATTCCATCCCCGTCACAATTTTTTACACAAGCAGAAAGAGAGAAAATGAGCATATACACACAGCTTGCTGCAGACAGGAAATACTTACTGAGATCTTCTGAGAGCTGAGGAAACTCATAGATGTGCTCACATGTGTTCCTGCTACTGGGGATGCAGAAGCCAAAATCAAAGTCAAAGTTCTTCAGCAAGCGATCTCGGAAGTAATGCCTCTCAATCATTCGGAAGTTTGACACTGGCTTTTCTCCCACTGTAAATTCCACTCTGGAAGAAAAAAGTAGGAAAAAACAGGTAAGAAAGCCTTCTCTTCCTACTGCAAAGAACAGAGCCTTGGACCTGAAACTACACAAGAACCCAACAGAACTGTTCCAGAAAAATACTCTATATTATTAGTGTACGATGAGTTCTCTCAAATCCCTGATTCTAGCTATAAGCTGCTCAGTGGCACCACATAAACACCTGATTTTCCCCTCACACTTCTGTGAACACAGACTCACGTTGCACCAACAGTCCGAAGACGAAGAAATGCTGGGGTGAACTGATAACGAACGAA